ATCAGCAGTTATACTAAAGCACTCCTTCAATTCTCATGGATACATAAAATTAGGTTTGTTTGAATAAGATAAAAGGAAAGTTGGAAATGTAAGACGTAATTGTACATCTTGTAGGTGTAATGAACTATATCTGCTGAGAACATAAGTAAAACCATCACAAAAGCAGTGACCACATGACAAACTTGCTTTAGGGCTAACAACCACTCAAACTACAAGACAGCAAGGAATCATGCACAAAGATAATACAGTTAGCACAGTTGCCAGTGTTTTAGTTTTATGTACCATGTTAGAGCTGTATTAGTCATCACCATAACTTTTGTGTAATAAAAGTCTTAAAAGAACATGAATAAAAGTACAGATAAGATCAGTACTTCTTCCTATAATTAAGGTACTTCGCAATTTTATCTATGTAGTAGATAATTTTATCTATGTTTTCCAGATGAAAACTGACCTACGAGAATTTAAACAATCTTTTCAGATTGATACACTACTTTAAATTTCAACAGAAGCTCTTTCCAAAGAGAAGACAAAGATTTAACTTCTTATAAAAGTTTTTCAGTAACTCTACCAACTCTTGAGTAAGAACCTGAAATTCAGTCTGCTCTGGTTTCCGACTACTTTGGTCTATACACATTAATTACAGATGGGGAAGCCTGCTGCTATGGAAAGGGAGAGGTCTTTTCCCTCTTGGTCTCAAAATCCCTTCCCTTATTCTAGCCCCACAGTCCCAATGTATTTCAAGTGTTTATCTTACACTGGTTTTGGCAGTTATCTGCTTGCACGGTAAACCAGTTCAACTGGCTAAAACAGCAAAAGACTTAGCCCAAAAAATTTTAAAGAGCAGTTCTTAGTAGCACAGCAAGTTGTCCTCATTTCAGCTGGGATAGTTAATTTTCTTCCTAGTAGCTGCTACAGTGCTGTGTTTTTCATTAAGTATGAGCATAATGTTGATAACAAACTGATGTTTTAGTTTTGGCTAAGTAGTGCTTACCCTAGTCAAGGATGTTTCAGTTTCCCATGCTTTGCCAGCAAGGAAACGCACAGGAAGCCAGGAAAAGCTGACCTGCACTCACTAAAGGGCTCTTCCATATCATAGAACATCATGCTCAGTATATAAACTGGGGGGAGTTGACCAGGAGCCACTGCTCCCTGCTCAGGGACAGGTTGGGCATCGGTCAGTGGGTGGTCAGCAACTGTACTGTGCATCACTTATTTCTCTTGGGTTTTATTCCTCTCCCTCTGCCTTTCACTTTTTCATTAAAGTAATTATTGTTGTTATTATTATGGATATTATTATAATTAGTATTATCAGTATATTTTATTTTGTTTCAATTATTAAACTCTACTTAATTCAACCCACAAGTTTTTACTTTTTTTCCCCTGATTCTCCTCATCCCACCAGGGGCAGCGGGGAGTGAGACAGCAGCTGCAAAGTTCTTAGTTGCCAGCTGGAGTTAAACCACAACAGAAGTTGAGCTGTCTTACTGTGTAATCAAGAGCTGAAGAGCAAAAGGAAGATGAGTGCCCTCAAGAACAAGACCTCTCCCTTTCAATAAGAAGTCATCTATTTTCTTACCAACAGAAGAGCTTTTCGTCCCTATGAAAATTCACTCAAGTTTAGACAAACCAAGAAATTCTGGAGGAAAGCAAAAAAAAAAAAAAAAGATGGAATTGTTCACCTCTGTGTGTAGCTCAGATACTTCAGTCAGGTACTGTATTTTACCAATACACCCTAGCTGTTCTTGTACAAGTCAGGATGCAGCTCTGTGAGGGGCAGGCAGCTGTGAGCTCTTAGGCTGACTAAGTGAAGACACACCTTAGGGCTCCTTCCCCCCCCAGCCATGCAGACCTGCTGCTCACCTCTGGGTAATGCACGCTTGGCGTAATTCTGTGAGCCACGTCAACTTCCTAACACTGCAAAAAGCTGGACTGGCAAAAAGTTGGATAGTTTCCTGCCATGTTAATAAGCTCAAAAAAGGATATAACAAGTAACACAGCTGGGTCAGCACAGAGGGCAGGAACACATTGCCCAGGGGAAGACAGGAATGAAATCTCTCACTCCCAGCAGCAGGGAATTAGACCGCCTCAGCTGGTCACAGAACCATGGCCTCAGATTAGCTGTTCTTCATTGGAGAGGATTTACCTGAATGCTCCAGTTTTTCATAAGAAGTATATGCATTCCTGCAGATCAGCATATTTGATAATTTCCCATACAACAGCAAGTATCCTTTGAAGCCATCAGTATTTTTTTCAACTAAGTAAGGATTCTTAATCTTCAGGCAAGAATTACTATTTCAGCCTGCACAGATCACATTCCATTTCTGATGATATTCCAACCAAAACCACGGAAAGTAGCCAAATTGAGTTTGCCCAAGCAGATTAGCAGGCAACTTGAAAGAAGGGAGAAAAGTCATGAGTCTCATCACTCTTGTGCTGCTACCTACAAGCTCCATTAACAGCATCTCATCCCTTCTCACCAACACAGGACAGGAGATCCAAGGGATCATGATAGCTAGAGTATCATTTAGAGATCTGGTATGTGGATTTAAGTCCTCAAGGCAGAGAAAAATTCACTGCTATTACTGGCATTGCAATCAACATTGCAAGAACTCCGTGAGAACATGTGAAAAAAGACAGCTGTCCAGGAAAGCTCAGTTTTATTCACTTATATAAATATTATGATATAGCAATTATGTGACCATCTATTGTTTCTCCTCACCAGACTACATTCTGTTGCAGACTACATGGAGGAAACCATATGTGAGGAGTGATTTAGACTTCTCCATATGCCTGTGTTTCACTTAGTACGTAAATTGATAAGAGGTGGCCAATATTTGCAATATTACACCTGTTGGGGTGCTCAGTTGCCCACTGATGGCACATTTACATTACCCAAGTACTTCACGTCACATTTATTAAATAATAAATTCTCAGGAGGAGACAAACATTTTGTACACATTATATGAGGAATAAAAATGCAGAGACATCTGAGAAAGGTCACCCCATATGTGACTCAGGTTGGTTACAAAAGACAGTAGGCACCCTGGTTCACCTGACTTAAAAAAATAAATCTTTCTTCTACAAGCTTAAAACAGGAATAATCCAAACATAGCAATATTTTTTCGAGGATGTTGTGAAAAAATACAAACTGCAGCTTGTAAGTCTTAGCCTGTATTTGAAGAAAAAACATTCCTTAAGAGGGTACTGCAGCACCATAATAGGTCATCCCGTGAGGAGATGGATGCTCCATGCTTGGATGTTTCCAAGGCTGGCTTAAACAAAGGTAGAGCTGAGCAGACCTAGTGTTTACAACAGTTGTGCTTCAAGCATGAGGCTGCGATATGTGACCTCCTCAGGTCTCACCATTTCTGTGGTCCTATAAAAGAATGTCCACAGAATGCTTTACTACTACAACCAAAGCACCTTCATTACATGTTTGGCTTATTACCTAATCTGTTGATTCAGGATAGCAAATGGATAAAGTAAGCACATTTACCAAAAGCATACAGTTTAAACAGGCTTGTATTCTGGAGAATCACATACCAGCGTTTCATGTACTGCAGGAGCTGAGAGCTCAGAAAGTGCAAGACAGCCACTTTCCACAGCAGTAAGACCATGGATCATTAAATTGATTGGTCTTGAACTTTCTCGTTCAAGTATTAAAGAACAGTCTGGTGTAATCTCCATCACAGCAGCAGCAAAAAACTTCAAAACGTGCCCCAAAGCAGCAAAGACTATTTTAAGTACAGACCCCTGGCCCACTGACATCCACCAAACAAGTAATCGGGTTATGTGAACTTTGCTTCTTACTTCTGCAAGCATAAAACCAAGTTTAAGCTTCACTTGAGACTCTGGGGCCTAGAAGCCCCTACAGTTCAGGTTCCGGCTGCCCGGAAGACAGAGCAAGGGAAAGCGTCACTGGATGCTTACTCTAGTTTGCCAGCTGCTCGCAGCCACCAGCTGCCAAGAATCACACCCACCCCCCGACACGACCTTCCTTACTCGCTGCAGCTTTCCTATAAAGATTTGAAAGGGCCCGAGAGATGAACGGACGGGGCTTCCTACTTCCCCAACGTGGCCGTAACTCACGGGGTGAGCCGACAGCTCTCTCCTTCCCTCGGAGGGACCGCAGGCACTTTCCAGCAGGGCCGGAGCTGAGCCAGGACAGCAGCGCTACCACTCCCCTGGGTCCTCTGTCTCATGAATTTCATTTTCAATGAGCAATGGCCATAAACTAAAACACAAGAAGTTCCGTCTCAACATGAGGAAGAACTGCTTTACATTGACGGTGGCAGAGCACTGGAACAGATTGCCCAGGGGGGTCGTGAAGTCGCCCTCTCCGGAGACATTCCAAGCCCATCTGGACATGTTCCTATGTCACCTGCTCTAGGTGACCCTGCCTTGGCGGAGGGGTTGGGTGATCTCCAGAGATCTCTCCCAACCCGAACTATCCTGTGAGCACAGCGAGAACTGGACCACCCTCCGAGCCCCCGCAGCCCCGGCGCCGTCGGGAGCCCCGGTGCGGCATCGCGGAGCGGCTGCGAACGCTCCGGGCAAAACCCACCACGCAGCCCCCGCGCAGGGGAACAACACCGGGGCCGAGCCGCATCCCGGGCGGCCCCAGGGGCCTCCGCTCGGCGCCTCTCGGGCTCACCTTGCACTCGGGCTTCTCCTTGCCGGCCTCGCAGAAGTTGACGGGCGCCAGGCCTGGCAGGTAGAAGGCGGCGGCGGGCGCGGCGGCGGCCGCCAGCACGGCGGCCGTGAGGAGGAGCGGCGGCAGGGCCATGGCGGGCCGGGCCCGGCGGTGGCTGGGCGGCAGCGGGGCCGCGCCTCCGTCTCTCCCCCCGCGCGCGCCCGCCCTGACGCGGCCGCGCCGCTTCCGGCTTCCCCCTCGCGCGCGCGCGAGACACGTCGTCACCCTCGGCGCGCGGGGCCGCCCGATGGAGCGGCGGGGGGGGGGGCGGGGCCGGCGCGCGCCGTCTCTTCCGGGGTGTGGCGGCCCCTGTTGCCATGGCAGCGCGGCGCCGTCCCGCCGGGAGCGCCCCGGAGGCAGGGGAACCGGGAATGTGTTAGCAACAGCTTGCCAGCAGGCCGAGGGAGCTGATCCTGCCCCTTCTGCTCCGCCCTGGTGAGGCCACATCTGGAGTGCAGTGTCCAGCTCTGGTCTCCTCAGTGCAAGAGAGACGTGGAGCCCCTGGAGTGGGTCCAGTGGAGGGCAACAAAGATGATGAGGGGACTGGAGCATCTCTTTTACAGGGATAGGCTGAGAGACCAGGGCCTGTTCAGCCTTGAGAAGAGATGACTGAGAGGGGACCTCACACTGACTATAAGTGTCTGAAGGGAGGGTGCCAAGAGGATGGATCCAGGCTCTTCTCAGTGGTGTCAAGCAATAGCACAAGAGGCAGTGGGCAGAAACTGATACACAGGAAGTTCTACCTGAATATGAGGAAGAACACCTTTACTGTGTGGGTGACCGAACGCTGGAACAGATGCCCAGAGAGGTTGTGGAGTCTCCCCCACTGGAGATACTCAGGAACCCTCTGGATGCAATCCTGTGCCATGTGCTCTGGGGTGACCCTGCTTGAGCAGGAAGGTTGGCCCAGGTGACCCACTGAGGTCCTTTCCAGCCTGACCTGTTCAGTGTTTCTGTGAATGTCCACAGGTGACAGGAGCAGCATCCAGCAGCTGTTTGGGACTCCTTGCCTGGGCGGTCCCAGAAAGGCCTGAGCCCACTGATCCCGGTTAGGCTGCACTGGCTTTGTGCCTGTCCAGCGGTCCTTGCTCTTTCTAAAATAAATTTTGTCTTTTTTTAAATAAATTTTGTCTGCGGTTTTTTTGTGGTTTTGTTTTTTTTTTTTTTAGTTCTCAAGGGTTTCACTGGGAGGAGGGATCTGCCGCACCCAGCCACTCATGCCAACACCCTTGAGTTCCCTACGGTTTGCAATCCAAGAGTTTCTAAGTGTGAAAGGGGTTATTTGAATATAAAGTTAATTTCACAGCACTAAAATAAAACACAAGCTTCCTCAGCGGAATATGATTGGAGTCTGAAAAGGGGAGGGGTAAGGAGGCTTATTTTTTACAAAAATATGAAAACTTTCATGCAAAATGTAAACCAATCTCTTTCAAATAGATAATCCAGTGTCTACTATTCACTCCTCTTCCCGTAGGCCCTTGGGGGAAATGATGACTGACACAGCTAGGCAGGGAGAAATCGCCCCTGAAGGCTGGGTAGTCAAGGAGGCAGGATGGTCTCCAAACCCAGGCAGTGCGTGGCCATGGCACGTTATTGCCCACAACAGACTTGGAGCAAACAACATCCCTGTCTTTTTTTTTAATTCACAAGGGTTTTGCTATGGACAACTCTTCACTGTTTTCAAACTGAGCTCTCAGGTGAGATGTACCTGCTGGCTGAGTGGAGCCGGGGAGAAAACAGACAGACGGGTAGGTGTTGGCTGTGGATGACTCCCATGTCAACCGAATGTTCAGAACAACCCGAGTCCATGTTACCTTCATTTCACCAATGGCTGCCGTCCTGTGGCACAATCTACTGAAAAAAATCCCAACCAAAAAAAGAAACAAACCTACAGAAGGGGCAGACATAAAAAGTCTGTTTTGATAAGGTAGAAAAGGACATTGCTCAGATTCTCATTTCACCTTTCCCTGCTTCCTAATATTTTCCATCAGTGTGAGTTTGTGCAGCTTCAGAAACACCCTCTCACGAAAAACTATATTTATAAATGTTGCAGCGTTTCCACTAATTTCCTTGATTCTCAGAACATGTTTTATTTCCTTTCTTCTATTTACTACAGGGTTGGGGGAACACACCTGTTGCTCACACGATCCTATACATAGCCAAAGTCTTTAGGCAGCTAAGGTGTTGCCTAAGGTCTGTGTCCTGCAACACAATATTCCAGTGCCTGAGAAAGCACGAAGAGAGATACCAGGCTACAGTGGCCAACCTGTCTAGGGCAGGGTGAAGCTTCAGGTGGGTCAATTCACACAGCATCTGACTAGATAAAGGGTTGAGCATCTAAATACCTAGGCCACATAATGTAGTCTTTAGGTGAGATAATTGTAATAAATTTTCATATAGTTTCTACATTACACAAGCCATTCTTCAAGTTTGAGATGAATGCATGTTAATTTATAGCATATACATTAGATATTTTTGAACTCTCCATATATTTAAAATTTAAGTTGTTCGTCTACCTTTCTCATTCCAATTCCTGCTTGTCTCATCCTGTAGATATCCTAAGAGCACAATTATAAGATCAAGCCTTATGACAAGCACAGCTGGAGAAGAAATCCCAGTTCCCTCTTTTTATTTAAAATTACTCATGGTTAGGATAATCAGGTTGTAAATGACCCAAGTTCAGTTTCTTTTCTGCCACAAGGGAGTTCAAACATATCTCCCATTTCCCAGGTTAATATTCCAAGCAAATTACTTTTGTGGGCCTAATTCCATTCCTTCACATGAGAGAATATTTAAAGGCATTTGCCCATTTAATCCTCTTCTTCCTTGAGAACGCTCCAAAAACTGCACAATGGGTAGGAGTTGTGGTGTATTTTGTGATCTGCTTAAATCTCTCCTTTTACTATGCCTTTGTGACTGCCAAACCTGCTGACTCACATCCATTTTAAGGGATGCTCTGCCACTTGGTCCAAACAGCATTTCAGTGGATGTGGTGCCATATGCTGTGATGCTCCCTCCTCTCTACTCTGCAAAGGTGATGTGGAAAAACCATTTGTAGGCTGTGTTATTCTGGAGCAACTATAACAGTGGGTTATAATCCCAGGAATGGCCATGGTCCTTGAGATCTAACTTGAGGCTGGGCAAAACCCATCTTCTCTAATTTAATGAGAACTTCAATGGTACTTTGCTTGGTAATTTCTCTTCTTAAATTCCCCTGCTATGGGTTTTATAGCCATAGGTTACAGGTCAGGGGGTGTGGTTTTAGTACCAGAAAAACAAGTGTCACAGGTTTTTATCATCAGAAATTCCAAGGTTATGTGAGACTGTGAAATAAAACACACAAAAAAAATATTTTTTCAGACACTAATGAACCAACAGAAGCCAAAGCAAAAGAACAGCCTGGGTTTTTTCCTGATAAATTCTTGGGATAAGAAAATATGAAGATAAGAATATAGTGGCCAGAAACTGCTGGGAAAGTAAGTGTCACTCCTTGAAAAGTTTTACCCTTCTTTTTATCAGAAGCTGTTGTGAACAACTTTTGCCATTCTTGCGGTGGTTCCACCTTTTGCTGCTTATATCTGGTCTCCAAGGGGTGCCACCTTCGTTTGAGGATTCACAGCTCCCATGGTTCAGTTCTTCATTTCAAAGTCTTAAAAGTCCCTTGTATCCTACAGCTCAGGGGCTAATGCCTTCTCCTAGCATATTCCCTCCTCTGCCTGAAGGCGCTGTAACTCGCTTTTCTTACTATAGCGCCTTAGCAGGCAAGCTGTGGGGCTGTTCCACTTGCTGTAGAACAGATCAATAATCCTTGGTGTGGCAGCTGCAAGCACACAGTTGTTTCCTCCACTACAGGTTTTACAGGCACAGGTTACAATTCAGTTACAATTTTAGTACCAGAAGAGCAAAATAATAGTCTGCTGCATAATGTTTAGAGTGCTAACTGGATACAACTAACATCCACTTTGCTGCTAATTGTCATTTCAAGTTTTTTTTCTTTTATTATAAACTATTTATTTGCAGCCTTGAACCGGAATGTCCCCTACCAACTAAAATTCAGAGTTTTGTAAAAAAGTTTTGTCTTCTTCTCTCCTGAGACAACTGGCAATAATAATGACAAATTTCATATTTGTCTTTCATATTTGTGTGGAAATCCCCTGCTGTTAAGTAGCCCCTACACTGGTAGACTGGCCATTTTTCTATAAAATGAGAAGTAAGGATGAAGACTTCATCAACTGGAGGTGGAAGCTGAATTAAAGTCCCTGATGGCAGTGCTAACAATCATTGCTCACAATAATTTCTGTTCCTCCCGCAGCAGGAGTATCAAGTGTGTCAAAGAACTTCTCACAGATTAAACAGGTGAAGGATTATGGTTTGTGAAGGCTCATTCTGCTTTGGTCTGAGGACATTTGAACAATAACTCCTGCTAAGCATAAGGTACTTCTGCGAGTGATTGAACAACAACCTTTAGGGAGCTTTGAGCCTGAAAACAGAGGGGTCTGCGTTCCTCCTCGGTGGGATGACAGCAGAGCACAGTTACAGGAGAGCTATGGTTCTGTGTCTAAAGTCAAAGTTGAGCACATTGAGTGCCCTAGTCCTTTGTGGATCCAAAGCTTTCATGGCAACAGAAACTTGTGATTGACCAGGTTACGTGGGGGAGTGAAGGCATCATATCATCAGCCCACACAGATGAATGGCAGCATCATCTGTGAGGTACCAGAGCAGAGGTCCTGTTGGTTTGCCTCTTTCTGAAGGCACGGTCCTCCAGTGGGTAGTTGTTGGCCTCCGGCAGCTCAGGACTGCAACCTGTGAATATTCTGCAGGGCTTGGTGGCATGTGAGGTGTGCTTCTCCTTCAGGTCAGAGTAGAACTATAGTGTTTCAGGAAAAGCATATATTCTAGTGCAGCAGCCAATTCACTACCTAAATAAATAGTGCAGCATTCAGAGTAGTCACAGAGTGTGTAGAAACTCATCTGGTTGTACCATTGCTGACTTTGTTTGGCTTTTGTGACTTGCAAGTCTGGTTTTGTGCCTTTTTTTTTTTTTTAATCTTTGTTCAGGTGTTAGATCCAGCACTTCCTGTGACTTTATGACCAACTTCAAATTAATGTTTAACATAACTTCTTTCAGGCTTTTGGTATGCTATAGAGGCCTATGTCCTTTTCTCCCTCTGTTTCCTAGGGCACTAGAAATATGCAACTGTCCAATACCTGACTCACCAAATTAAAAAGAGGAATTTACTAAATAAAATAGGCAAAAAAGAGCTCTGTCAGGTAAAAGCAGCTAATGAATTACATCTTAAAGGAAAATACTGAGACTATCACTGTATATTTAAGGCTAAATTAAGCTCAGCTGACTCTTTTGCCTGAGCGATGGGGCAGAGCCTTTGGAGAAATGAGCGTGCTGAGAGGGACATGGCTATGCCTTGCAGCAAACACTAACCAGACTCCTCCATGAGGGAGAAGGGACACGTGGCACCAGCTAGTGAGGTCTGAGCGCCAAGGGCTTTGGGAGCAGCTACATTTATGAGTCTCTCCAGCAGTTGCTATAGGTAAGGTTTCTGTGAGGTCCCTGGTGGGTTTTAAACCAGCACAAAAGAAAGTGTGGGAAGATTGCTGCCTCCCTGGCCCACGTCTCCCATGTTTGGAGCTGGTCTGGTTCAGGCTGCACCAATTAGAGTGTTCAGCCCTCAGAGTGTAAGAATGTAAATGTTTTTAACATCATTACCAATTAATGGGATTGCAAAGAAACAAACCTTTACGCAGAAATATGTTTGTGGATAAAACAAAGAGGAATGCTTCTTTTTATAGCTCTATGAGCCCCAAATCAGTTGAGCTGGTTATCTGTTCAGCAATGTGCATGGTGATTAATGATTCCACTGCAAGCTGAAATATCCAAGCTTGTGGAAGTTTTCAAGCTTAAATATAACTCCTGGTGGTCACTGTTTCTATCAACTGGGAAAAGAAGAATATGTTGTGGGTTTTTTTCCTTCAAGAAGAGACTGATTGGGATCTTTGTCAAGAGTTAAACTAGATTTTTTGGGGAAAAAATAATTTAAAAAAAAAGTGTGATCATCTG